ATATATATATATATATATATATATATATATATATATATATATATATATATATATATATATATATATATATATATATATATATATGCAATATTTCGCAATATTTTGCTCAAAATGAACCTTGTACGGGCTTTTACCGATGTGCTTTTCGCCCAGTAATACGCCAACTTCGTAAATGCCAACCTTGCGTGGCCGATATTTAAAAATTTTCAAATGCAAATTTTCATCCAGTGCTTCACTCACTGGTATTTCGTTGCCAGCTATAAAATTCATTTTATATTCACATTGAAGTAAATTTTATTTAATCCTTAATAGCATTACCTTATCCAAAACGTCTTACTTTTCTAAATTCCATACTGAATCGTTGCTTCCGGTTAAACTCCCTTTCCAAAAGTATCCCTTTGTCCATTAAATTCATTCAGCACTTTTAATTCCCTAACCGCTTCACATCATCCAACAACGACCCATCCTATCAAACCTCAGTCAGAATTATTCCACTGCTTCGGACAGATAATCCACATTCAACCTTTCCGTTCTCTGCAGTTCTGTGCCACTAGATATTTTAGTGCCAAAACTAGCGTACGAAATGTTCTCTCCAATCATCAGATAAACCTTTGACCTTATCTATTCTAAGCTATAGCCAAGGCTATTTTAGATTATGTGATACTTACACAGTCCACGAACTCGCATACATGGAGGTCCCAACAAGCTATCACTGTAATCTGCATAAACGATTACTTCTTCACCGCTTTGGATACCATTTGGTTCGAGACCTCTACCCCAAATATTAATTTGTGCTAAAAAAAAAATGAACCATTATCTCATTCGGGCATTATCTTTGTCCAAACTTCTAACATTTAACTTTTATTCAGCCATCTGGAACTGAAAACGGTTACTGTTTTCTAAAGCCGAAATGGTAAAATGTAAAAGTACTTCTATATAGACATCACTTCTGGTGGATAATTTATATTACAAAAGACGACAGATATTTGCAAGTGCAATTAATTACCTTGTGGAGTTACTGTGAGTGAAAATGGACTACCAGTAATCCGGTTTCCTTTTTGGAAAATGTTTAGTTCATACACACCTTCTCGTTTTGGCATGAACTGGCCAATGAAAATATTACCATCACGTGTCACCGGTACTACGAACCCTTTATCATATGGAGGAACTACGAAAACCTGTAATGTTTTCTATACCTACCTACAACTATACTGTTCTATTTCATACTGGTACTCAACTGCCACTATTACATAACTCATCCTGAACCTCTACAAAATATAATTTAACGAAAAGTCGAAGATATACTATTCCCTGAAACATGAAAAGAAATGTAACAAATATCCGTTAGAAATGATTCTGATTTTTTCGACCTTACGTGATTAAGGAGAGAAAAATTGGAACGTAGAATACTAAAGTACGATTTGAAGAACAATTGCCCTGAGCAAGCTGGTTAACTATCCATTTGTATAACAAAGTATTTCATACCTCAATTGGATCCTTCCCCGGATTTTCAATTTTAAATTTTACTGGCATGCCAAGCTGTACGTTTCTGTCATATAGCAAATGCGCTCCCTCAACTGCTACTATTTTTGGACTTGTTAGGTGAGCGATGTTGCCCGATATTTTGTCACGAACTATTGCCAAAATCTGCAACATCTTTCGCATTTGAAATGACTACAAGTAGTGCATCTTCAGATCTCTTACTCCATATTTAAGGTCTCTTACTTCGAAAATTTAAAATTGGAAAATGAAATGTGTCGCTGAAGTAATAAAGGAGATGACAGAAAATTAGAGGAAATGTTTGGTTTGCGACATAAAATAATAAGTTTGGAATTCAGCAATGGCCTAACCTCATGTTCACCAGCAATTTTCGGTTGATAGATGAAATTATAAACGGTCTCTGAAGATCGAGACATAGTGTATGGTAGCAATGATCCCGTCGGCCCTTTAATGTTTATTTCCGTAGCCACTGTTGCGCTACTAGTCAGAAGAACAAATTTCGTATCGATTCCAACAGTCGGCAACACATCAATATCACGAAATCGACCCATCCGTGGTGTATATTTTGCTCCAGGAAACTGCGAAAGATATGTCATCACACTCCTCTCGTCAACAGCTGGACTGATCAATTCTTCTGGCGCAATAAGCTGAAAAATTTAACTACATCCTTCCATAGAATGTGAAAAAAGAAAGTTACAGTGAAAAGAATTCAAAAAAACGTACAGGTGCGATGTCAAGATAATCCTTTGCAAGATGCATTGCTGTACGAGTTGAATGTAAAGCTTGAGATGGTAACCAGTTGCGCCAGTCCACTCCCAAATCAGGTGCACAGGAGTCGACCTGGAAGAAACTTGTTAAAAGGATGGATCGAGATGCAATACAATACCTAGTAGAAAAGCTACCTACCAAAGCACCAAGAAGAATTCCATCGTTCCAATCCGATGTAAAGTTGGTGAAAGGAAGTCCGCTTGGTAATTTTCCCTTAAGCCAAGTCATAAGCTTTACTTTTGGTGACAAATCTTCCACTTTTGCTGCACTGCCTGTATGATCATCCCAGATTTGGTTTGAGATCGAATAATGTAGAATAAGTGTCCAAACCAGGCCCAAAATGAGCTTCAAATTGCGATCTGCTATGGCCGAACTATCTGAAAATGACCATGCTCCCCACAGCTGCAACAACCTGAATTATATTTTCAACAAATCATAAACAAAAATATACCGATATTAACAATTTTAATATGCTCCTCATTTTCCAGGAACTTCAGCGCGAGCGATATGTTTTCCAGCTTTTGGTGACGAAAAGTGACCTTCCTACTGTATCGACCAAGAGATCTTCCAGACAGCACTTCCACCAAACGAATTAATTTTAAGCCCTCACCAAAATCCGTTTCCTGAACGAAAAATATCAGCTTGAAAAATTGTGCAAACAGAGCCAATACGTCTTCTGTTAATGAGATATCGCTTTTTTCTCTTAAACTTGCCAGTAATGCTTATTTTATATCGTTATCATCAAAACGGCAAGATGGTCCAGTTACTCAGTACAACACGACTTTCACGATGATATGGCAGTATGCTGGAAACAACCGGATGTATCCCGGAACTCCCGGAACAGTTCACGATGTTGTCCAATCATTCCCACTTTCTAATTCATTCATTGGTGGCTTATCCGTAATATCAAATGAAATACATTAATGCCACCACAATGATATATATATATATATATATACATATATATATATATATATATATATAT